TTGTAACTACTTACCATTACATCCATTGTTTTGTCCACTGCATGAAACCATGAATTGAGGAGAAAGATCGACATTAACCTTTCCTCCACTCTTAATACAAAATCTATCAGCCAAAACACTACTTGCCTATTGAGATTTCTAGTCAACCAACCACACAATTAAAACAACTTACAGAAAACTATTCATGATCCAATTATCCACATAAATTCATCAAGATTAACTTACTGCCCAACAAGATCCACAATTCTTTTGATTTTTAATCGATCTAATGCATTGTGGCCATTGTTCTCTAGCATCGAATTGAGTTGGAAAATCTTGCAAACGTAAAATTGTTAAATATCTTGAATCGCTCAAAGGAGTGTTAGTGCTATTATCTTTATCCATGACTTCTCCTTTCAAATCGTTTTCATTGACATTCAAAGCACCAAGTAACTGTCAAAGTACTGTTTAATGAAATAAAACTTTTGACAACTTACATTGGTCATGTCAGCCAAACTTTTACCTTTAAATTGAGGATATTCAACGGCTTGCCAAGATGCTGATGGTTGTGAATTAATATTCGAAATCATTTCTCTGGTTTGAACAGGAACTTGATCCCAAGAATTTTGTTGAAAATCATCGTACATGCAAGTGATACTATTCGAAAGTAACAAGAAACTACATAGAAAGACTATCAAATAGCCAACCATCACCAACAAGGTGGTTGGATGTTGAAGTTTAGCCATTTTTTTTCGAATGGTTTCAGATAACAATTTCATGAACTGGATGATCGAAGAATCGGATAAAAAAAAGGAGTTTCAGATACAAGGTTACTTGTGGAGTTATAAGTTTAATGTTCTTCAATTTTCCCTTACAGCACTAGTTCAATTTGAAACTATTTCAAAGTTTTTGCAAGTCTTAGAGTGTTATATTGTTTTAAAGAGAAGAATTGATGAGTGTGTATTGGATTTTAAAATAGTCAACCAATTCTTTGTTGTGTGTTAGTACTACTACTACGTGCTTTTCTGTGTTACAGTATCATGATGAATGATGCCTCGTGTGCTATTTGCTGATGGATTCGTAGTTTTCTTAATGTTTTGATGAGAGAATAAATTGTATACAATGCTATTGTTAAGAGCTTTGACAATAAGCAATGGAATCAGTTTGACCATTGAAATAGTTGCAGCCTTTGATCCAAATCACATAGTAGATTGCATCTACCTTGTTTGGAT